AGCAATCTATGAAGGGGAAACAACACCGAACTATCACAAGGTGAATCGCAACTTACCCAAGCACCCAAATCAGTGAAAACACAAGATTTGAAGCATCAACACAAGGGGAAAGTTCACCGAACTATCCCAAGGTGAATCGCAACTTACCCAAGCACCCAAATCAGTGAAAACACAAGATTTGAAGCATCAACACAAGGGGAAAGTTCACCGAACTATCACAAGATGAATCGCAACTTACCCAAGCCCCCAAATCAGTGAAAACACAAGCTTTGAAGCAACCTATGAAGGGGAAACATCACCAAACTATCAGAAGGTGAATCGCAACTTACCCAAGCCCCTAAATCAGTGAAAACACAAGCTTTGAAGCAATCTATGTAGGGGAAACATCACCGAACTATCACAAGGTGAATCGCAACTTACCCAACACCCAAATCAACAAAAATCGCATTTTTGACAAGAGGAGGAGGGGGAGAAGTCGGAGAAAAAGAAAAGGAAGAAGAAGAAGAAAAAAAAGAAGAAGAAGAAGAAGAAGAGAAGAAGGAGAAGAAGGAAAAGAAGCAGAAGAAGAAGAAGAAGAAGAAGAAGAAGAGGAAGAAGAAGAAGAGGAAGAAAAAGAAGAAGGAGGAGGCCTCCCTCCTCTTTCACTCACCTCTTGCTGGTCTCTAGGCAGTGGAGTCCCCAATGTTTGGTTCTAGCCTCCTGAGCGTGGCTTTTCCTCCCTCCCAAGCTCTCTCCTCCTTCCCTCACACTTCTCCTTTAGCTATGGCAGGTTCCTACCTCTAAGGTTGTGGAGTCCTTCCCTCTAGAAGGGCTATGGGGACCCCTTTCAGCCTCTCCTCCTACTTCACAGCCTGAGGGCTATGGCGGACCACTCTCCTTGCTCCCTCCTAGCCTCTAGGTCACCTTCCTCAGCCCTACCACCATAGCCAGGCTGCAGGCTAGCTCCGACCCTCCCTCCCTTGCTTCTCTCCCACTCGGACTCTTTCCTAGACTAATTTGGGCAGCATGGGTACCTCTCATGCTCAAATGAGAGTGGCGGCCTACACCTCCAGCTTATATAGGCTGGAACAGGTGCACCGCCCAACCTCTAGGCCCCTCCAAGTGCCTCTAGGTGGAGCGAGGTACCCCAAAGGCCAAATTTCCGATTTTGGCCTCTCGAGGGGTACCTGGGCCTCATTTTGGCCAGGTACGTGCAGTCCGAGAGGCTGGGACCCTCTCGGACTACCCCTACCCCAACCTCTTTTTACTTCAAAAAGTGCTGCCTTTTGGGGTACCCTTTCCCAAAATGCAGCCTTTACTGAAAATTGTGGGCCTCAAGGCCCATTTTTCGCCTTGTTCTTGGTCTAGGCCTTAGGCCGGCACAGATCTCAGCCTTGGATTTGGCTGAGATTTATGGTTCTCATCATTCCGAGTTACTCCAAGCTCCCCTTGCTCCAAATTTGAGTCTTTTGCTCCAATTTTCAATTTTTTTGATGTACCTGGCCTAAACCTTGGGCCAAATTCGCAGTTTTGTCTTGCTTCTCTCTTTGTTTTCCCTCCATTTTGCTGCCAACTCATTCTGGAGCTAGCCGTTTTGTGTCAGCCCACAAAAAACGGCTAGATCTCCTCCTCCGCAAGATCAGGTTTCAGATCTAAGGCCCAAAAATGAGCCGGCCAACTCACATCAGCATTTTTCCTTATTTTTGTTGCTTTAATTCAGATATTACAGAGATAATGCCCCAAGGGCCTTATCTCTGCAATCCGGACTGCACTCCTATTATCCAGGAGGGATGAGGTCATCATTGGGACCTGCCCATCCCTACTGCTGCAGTCCCAACCTGGCGGCACATTTTCCTCCACTCATTCCTCCTCCTTTGTCTCATTCTCCCCCTTTTTCTCCCTTTTTCTCTCCCTCTTTCTTTTATTGTTGTAGGGACAAGTGTCCAACAGCTATTTCTCCTCTTTCTGGCTGTTGGACTTCACCCAAGGTCTGTTTTTGTAGCCGGCACATGGCCGTTGCACCTCGGACTGCAGTAGCGGCACCCCCAAGGCCAAAAGGGGCTCCTTTTTGCTGCCGCCGCTTCCAGTTTGAGACCCCCTTACTCCGATTTTCTCCGGCCAGCCCTTTTTCCACGTGGAGCCCTTGGAACTTCGTTTTTCTTGGCCTGGCCGATCCGGGATACTCGGACTGCTGGCCGGGCCCCCCTTACTGCCGCTACTCCCTCTCCTTTTTCCCTTCGGCACCTCCCACCGGTGCTTTCCGCGACGATACTTAGTATTTTCATCCGGACACCTGGCCCAAACGGTCCCGTCCACCTGACGTTACGTTATTTTATTTTTGTTTGTTGTTACGTTTGATCCAGGGTCCCCTTGGGTCGCCCCAGGTGCCTTCCGTCTTTCCCGTCTCACGTCCGTCTCCTTCGTTCTGTCGTCAATTTTCGTCAGCACCCGACTTCTCCTCTTTTTCTTATTATCCCTAGTCTCTCCCCTTTTTCTGGCGTTGTTCCGGGTGACGTCTCACTCTCGTGTACTCCCCTTGGGTCGGTCACTCTTTATTCCGCCGACGGCTCCGGTCTTCAGCCCCCGTCAGCGGCTCCCGACACTTTATCCCGTCGATACCCGTCCTGCTAGTGGTTCCGCTGGTGCCGCCATTTTATCTAGGCCCACGTGGTCCCTGGCACTTCGGCCCGCCTGCATTACGTCTATCCCTTGGTCTCACGCAGTTCCCGGTACTTCGCCCTGCCGACACCACGCCGTCCCCTGGTCCCGCGTGGTCCCCGACTCTTTGTCCTGCCGGTACCGCCCCGTCCTCCGATCCCAAGTGGTCCCCGACACTCCTGCCCCACCTGTACCACGTCTTCCCTTGGTACTTCTGACGTCCTTCCGCCTTACGGCGGTCTTCGCTCCCCGTTCCCCCTTGCGTCCCACACGCTGTTCCCCTCCGGATGCCGGTTCCCACCTAACCCGCGATCTCCTTGGCCTTCCTGCCGCCGTGTCGCGCCGGCGCCTTGCGCCCTGTCCCTTCCTACTTGCCTTCCTTCCCTTGCTGCACACCCCCTCTGCTACTACCGACTTCCCGGCGGCCCTTCTCCGTCCTTGGGAAAAGAGTCGCTTCTGCTATTCTCTCACAGTCCCTTGCCGCTCCCCGCTTAGACAGTTCCTTTCTAGTTTTGGCAGTCCTGATGATTCTGGGCAGCCTCTAGTTTCCTACTGTCTGTGCCCACGCTTCCGATTTTTTCAGCATTCCTGCCTCCGGTTTTCTCTGTCGTGCACAAACTGGTCATATACAGTCTCTTGAGTGACGGAAAATCATTCGGGACTCACCAGCCCCGACACGAGACAATTGAGAAGCCCGCCCCTTTGAAGGGGCGGCCGAGACAATTGAGAAGCCCGACCCTTCGAAGGGCGATTTCAGGGCTAGGCGTGGGCGTGCATTCAGAAGGGCCGAAACGGTATCGCACGGCCCAGATTGCGGGCCGTCCGTGGGTGGTGACCGGGCCGCAACCTAGGCCAGTAGATATGACGTTAACGATTCTTATAGTATTGTAGATTGTAGATCAAGACCCGGTCCCCTGGTGGGAGGGCTTTACCACGGAACTTCAGATTTTTTCCGTCCCCGAGCGCTCATACATCGGCGCGCTGTTCCTCAACTCAAAGGGCGGATGTCAGATCTGGCTTAGCCACCTGGCAACCATCCATGGGGTCGACGTCGCCGATCTGCACACAAAGATTCCTTGGGCAGATCTAACGAAGCTATGGAAGAAGCGGTTCATCATGGACGATGCGCCAACACTTGCCATCAACCGCCTTTTCAGCATGACGCAAGGCAACACATCGACACGCGACTGGCTTCACGAAATGGCAAAAGATCACGGCGACGCCGATCTAGAATTGCCATTTTCACATCTGCGTCGGGAGTTCTACAACCGGTCATGTGCCGCCTTGAGCCTTGCACTTGGTGATCGCGAGCAATACGTGACCTTCGCCGAGATCATCGACAAGGCAAGGGAGATCATCAAGACCAATAGGGCGGCTGCACACGAGAAGTCGGCATGGCAACCAACCTATGTGGAGAAAGGAAAATTTGGTCCGCGTTCGCAGCATGTCGCTGCAGTCCACTCGGACAACATTATGAAAGACCCAGCAACCACCCAAGCATCACGTGAGGGCGATCAGGTGGCTGTTGTCTAGCTGCAAAGCAACAACAACTCCTGAGGAAAAGGGAAGGCGAAAACCGCATCACCGGCCGGAAACGGACAGCCAACACCATCGGTCAAGTTTGACTTGATCGAGGCCGAATACAAGTGGCGCGGCCGGTATGGCTACTGCTATTGGTGCAACAACACCAAGCACAAGACCTCCCAATGCCCGGATCAAGGCAAGGAGGATGTTCGGCCTCGCATCAACTCGGGAAACTGAGTTGCGCGGGAGGTGAGGCGACTCCACCTCTCACTTCGCCAGATTCGGCCGCCTTGCTAGCGGCCTCCTACACATCTGGGGAGGATGTGAATGTCGCAAGTCCTCGGTTCACTTACGAGGATTATGCTGTCCACTTGGTCCCACCGTTGGACCAACCACTCCACTTGCAACAATCCACCGCATGCACAGTTTTACTTCCATCGGCAACCGATTCGGCAACTTCGTTGTCATCTATCGTTGGGGATTCGACGACATGGTCAAGACTTGAAGAGCTCGACCCGTTGACGTTTGCGGACTTCCAATGGATGCCCCTTCCCCCGTCCGGTCGATTGTCGAAACCGCATTGCAACGTGCTCATGGCACAATTGCGGAATTACTTGCGCACTGCAGTACCAACTCCGTTGATGGACGCCGGAGTAGAGGTTGTCGACCGTCACGCCTACATTGCGAAGAACGACCGCGAGTTCAAGACACAACGGTACGACGACATCGACGCGCCATTGTTGTACATACGCATTCARATCGGAGAGGMGACCTGCAACGCTTTGATCGATTGCGGAGCTACTCGCAACTACATGAGCCAAGACTTTATGGTACGCGCTGGCCTTGGGCCATGCGTTCGGAGGAAGTCGCAACCCACGCAAGTCACGTTGGCCGACGGCCACACGCACAAGTCAATCGATCGGTGCATTGATGCCGTCCCCGTGTACTTTGCCCCGCATGCAAGCGAGGCCGTGTCTTTCGATATTTTGGACACCAAGTTCGACATGATCTTGGGCATGTCATGGCTGCGAAGCGAGGATCACCTGGTGAACTTCTACCATCGCACCGTTCACGTTCGTGATCGGAACGGAGTACTAGTCCCATGCACGGTGCCTCCTCCTCACCCTTCGATCAGCTGCCACGTGGTGTTCGCCGCAAGCATTCGAGCATCCATCATCCGGGATGACATCGAGGAGATGGGGGTGTGTTTTCTCCACGCCCTCCCGCCCCAAGACATTCCATCGACGGACTCACCACCGGACCCACGCATCACTGAGCTTCTCGACGCCTACGGCGACGTGTCCGAAACACCGCACGGAGTAGTACCGGATCAACCCATCCGCCACGAGATCATCCTCGAGGACGGGGCCGTACCTCCGCGTGGTTGCATCTACCGCATGAGCGAGGAAGAGTTAAGTGTGCTAAGGGCACAACTCAACGATCTTCTCGAGAAAGCCTGGATTCGGCCTAGCTCTTCGTCATACGGTGCTCCCGTTCTCTTCGTCCGGAAGAAGAACAAGGACTTGCGGATGTGCATCAATTATCGCAAGCTCAACTCGCAAACCGTCAAGAACGCCGACCCTCTCCCGCCCATCGACGACCTCCTGTAAGGGTTGGGCGGCACCAAGTTGTTCTCCAAGCTTGACCTCAAATCGGGATATCACCAACATGAGACCCGGCAGGAGGACCGCTACAAGACCGCGTTTAAGACCCGATATGGGCATTTTCAATGGCTGGTTATGCCTTTTGGCCTTACGAATGCCCCGACCACATTCCAAGCGGCTATGACAACGGAGTTCCGACACATGCTGGATAGATTCGTACTCATCTACCTCGATGACATTTTGGTGTACAGCTGGAGTTTGGACGAGCATATGGAGCATCTTCACACCGTTTTGGAGCGACTACGACAAGCCAAGTACAAAGCCAACCGCGACAAATGCGAATTCGCGCGGCAAGAGCTGGAGTACCTGGGACATTATGTAACGCCGCAAGGCATCCGTCCGCTTGCGGACAAGATCGAGGCCATCCGCGTATGGCCCGAGGCCACCAACACCACAAACGTTCGTTCATTCATGGGGTTGGCAGGCTACTACCAACGCTTCATCACCGGGTACTCAAGGATTGTCGCACCTATGACGAGGTTACAATCGCTAAAGGTGCCATTCGTATTTGGTGACGACGCACGCCGGTCATTCCAAGCACTCAAGATGGCCATGCTCATGGCACCCGTCCTTAGCATCTACGACCCCACCCTGCCAACGAGAGTGACAACCGACGCTTCCGGCTATGGCATTGGGGCAGTCTTGGAACAACACGACCGCGACGACTGGCACCCCGTGGAGTACTTCAGCCACAAAGTGCCTCCCATCAATTCACTTGATGATGCAAGGAAGAAGGAGCTGCTCGCGTTCGTGATGGCTCTCAAGCGATGGCGACACTTCCTCCTTGGGTGTCGTAGGTTCACATGGGTCACGAACAACAACCCATTGACCTACTACAAGACGCAGGATACGGTGAGCAGCACGATCGGACGATGGATGTACTTCATCGACCAATTTGACTTCACACCGAAACATCTCCCCGGCCTCTCCAATCGCGCAACAGATGCACTCTCGCGAAGACCCGATCTTTGCGCTATGACACATCATGCCTGCGCATTTGACGAGGAACTCCAGCGACAATTCATCCGGGGCTATGAGTCCGATCCGGATTTCGCCACGTTGTATGCGCAGCTATCTTCGGATCACCCGTCGGCCAGCCATTATCGCATCGTCGACGGGTACTTGCTCCTCCACTCGAGAGGCCAGGACTTATTGTGTGTCCCACGCGACCGTCGTCTTCGGACTCACCTTCTCGGTGAGTACCATGACTCGCGACTCACCGACCATTTTGGAGTCAATCGCACTATTGCACGACTTCGACAACGATTCCGATGGCCTGACCTCGTTACCGATGTCACTCGGTATTGCGACTCTTGCGAAGTTTGCCGACGAAGCAAGCCCCGCAACCGCAATCCCTACGGCGAGTTGCGCCCGATGCCTATCCCACAGGAACCCGGCCTCTCCATTGCCATGGACGTCACCGGTCCGTTTCCCCGCGACCGGCTCGGGCAGGACGACATCCTCACGGTCGTTGACCGTTTGAGTAAGTATGCGCGATTTCTTCCTTGCAAGTACTATGCCACGGCTCCCGAACTTGTGCGCCTCCTACACACCAGCTGGATTTGCAGCCATGGCGTGCCGGAAGACATCGTCAGCAACCGCGACACTCGCTTCATGTCGGCATTTTGGACTTCTCTCATGCAGGAATCCGACACGAAGATGAAACCAAGTTCGGCTCGGCATCCACAGACGGACGGGCAAACGGAGCGGGCACATCAAACCGCTCAAATGATGCTTCGTACGCTCATCCGTCCGGATCAGAAGGATTGGGTTGACCGCCTCCCCGACATCGAGTTGGCCTACCACACTTCGTTGCATCCGGCGATCGGCGTAACTCCATTCGAGTTGCACCACGGTGGCCGGAAAAAGGCCGTATCTTCGCTGATCTTCTCCTCCCACGAACAACCGACATAGACGCTGCTTGCTCCCCCGCTTCCGTTCGAAAGTACAGGGAATTGTTGGCTCAAGCCCACGCGAACATGCAGAAGGCTCAAGTCCGCATGCAGCAGCAAGCCAACAGGCATCGCGTGCCATGTCCTATCGGTGCCGGTGATCTGGTGTGGGTCTCCGCGGAAGAGTTTGCACTCGAACATGACGTTTCACGCAAACTGCTTCTCAAGTGGTTTGGACCATGGCCCATAACATCAGCCGCGAGCGATGAGCCCGATGGCCCCTCATTTGTGATCAACATTCCCCGCATCTGACGGTCCATCCAGTCTTTCATGCCTCGAAGCTGGCAACATATACACCAGCCAAGAGCGACGACTTCCCAGGCCGAAGATCGCAAGATCCTCCATCTATGGATGGTCATAAGGAGGTTGACCGCGTCATCACGGATCGCAAGTAAGGCAGCAAGCCTCGATAGTACAAAGTTACATTCAAAGCATGCGATCCCAACAACACTCGGTGGATTTCAGGAACAGATTTGAAAGCATCCGCACCGCTGATCTACGCTCACTACGAACGACAAAGGTTAGCTCAGGGAACTTCACGACCTGCCCCTCCCACCCGGACTGTGGTCCCTCCCTCAGACAGACAGCTTCGCCCTCACAGGTAAGCTCGGTTTTTCAAGGAGGGGGCGGTGTGGCATACTGCGCAGCCACACGGACCTGCAGGGCCTGTCCCACAGTCTCAGCCTAAAAGCCTGGAAACAAGGGCTTACAGGCCCCGTGTCGTTTCAGCCTGAAAGACTGAAAAACGAGGGCCTGCAGGCCCTATGTCGTTTCAGCCTAAAACAGGGCCTTCCAGGCCCTGAGTCTTTTCAGCCTGAAACGGAGGGCCACTTTCGGGCCCTCATAAGATCGACCTGCCCTAACACTCAGGCACCAAACCAGGGTTTCGGAACAGGCTAATTTTGGCCTGTTCCCACGCCAGCCTCAGCAGGAGCTGNGAGCCCAATGGCCCCTCATTTATGATCAACATTCCCCGCATATGACGGTCCATCCAGTCTTTCACCCCTCGAAGCTGGCAACATATACATTAGCCAAGAGCGACGACTTCCCGGGACGAAGATCGCAAGATCCTCCATCTATGGATAGTCATCAGGAGGTTGACCGCGTCATCACGGATCGCAAGTACGGCAACAAGCCTCAACAGTACAAAGTTACATTCAAAGCATGCGATCCCGACGACACTCGGTGGATTTCAGGAACAGATTTGAAAGCATCCGCACCGCTGATCTACGCTCACTACGTGTGACAAAGGTTAGCTCAGGGACCTTCACGACCTGCCCCTCCCACCCGAACTGTGGTCCCTCCCTCAGACAGACAGCTTCGCCCTAGCAGGTAAGTTCGGTCTTTCAAGCAGGCGGGGGTGTGGCATACTGTGCAGCCACACGGGCCTGCAGGGCCTGTCCCGCAGTCTCAGCCTAAAGACCTAGAAACAAGAGATTACAAGCCCCGTGTCGTTTCAGCCTGAAAGACTAAAGAACGAGGGTCTGCCGGCCCTATGTCGTTTCAGCCTAAAACAGGTCCTTTCAGGCCCGCAGCCTTTTCAGCCTGAAACAGAGGGCCACTTTCGGGCCCTCATAAGATCGACCTGCCCTAACACTCAGGCACCAAACCAGGGTTTCGGAACAGGCTATTTTTGGCCTGATCCCCACGCCAGCCTCAGCAGGAGCTGCAGCGGCAGGCCCTGACTCACTTCAGCATTGGTAAGAGCAGCCTCCTGGACTGCCCTGCCCTGCAGCTGCAGATAGTCAGGAGGCAGTCCGAGTAGTACATAGGGAGTTCCCATGCACTTCACGGGCAGTCAGAGGCCGAGACAGTAGTAGTCTTCATGATTCGGCAGCAGCACTATGGAGGAGCGTTGCAGGAGTAGCTTAGCGCTAGTAGTAGTTTTCAGCGTTGGGCGCTAGTAGCAGTAGCAGTAGTCTTCAGCGCTGAGCGCTAGTAGAGGTAGAGGAGGCGAGACAGAGAGATGGTTGGCGGAGGCCAGGGAGACTTACCTGTGGTGTCATAACTCCAGCTTCATCTTCAAGGTACCTGCATCAAGGCGCTAACTTCACAGTTTAGTACCGGACTGAGAGAGAGAGAGAGAGTTCTTCTTCTTCCTCTTCTAAGTCCACCATCTCTTCTTCACCCTCTCACTACCTGACTTCTCGGTATCAGCGGACTACGACAAAGAGAGGGAGTTGTGAATTGAGACTTGACGACATTGGATCCAGACTCGACATTGGGATTCAGACATTTTGACGAGGGACTATTTGGGCCTGTGCCGAAGACTTGGTGTTGACGACATTCCCATCTTTCCCTCTTCTTCGTCTAACCCCCCTCTTCTTCGTCTGTGTATGGTTGGGGACTGGCGCATTCTTCCTGTGTGAGCGCCAGGCCCCTTCACACCATGGAGTGATAATGATGATGTGTGTTCAGGGCTGCATTGCAATATTGATTGTTCGGATCATTGGTATCTAAGTCTTCCGCTACGCTATCTTGTACTTTGTGAGAGAGGTCAGTTCTTGTTCTGGTCTGCACCGTTACAGTATGCAACACCCTGGGCCTGATTCGTTTGGACCGGGGCTCAGCCTCTCGGGGCCTGCTGGAAGCTTCTGGGCAGGGGCCCAGCGCAGCCAGGCCACACGGAGCAGGCAGGCCACTTCCATTTAGGAAAGTGCCTGCCCTCGCGTTTGGCATTCAGGCACTGGCTGCATGCTGTGCTAAGCGCTGCCCAGAAGGAAAGTGCCTGCTTTCGCATTTGGCATTCGGGCACTGGCTGCATGCTGCGCAAGCGCTTCTGCGCTAAGCGCTGGCCAGAGCCCACACGCTCACGTGCGAGCTGGATGAGCAGGCAGCCATAGCCGAGCTGCGCTGCACTATGCTGGATGGGGCGCATGGTGGTCCTTGGGTGCATGTGGCATCTGTGAGTGGGGGATCGAGGTTGTGAGTGATATGAGAGACATACCTGGTGCTTGAGGCGAACGGCATTGGCTGAGATCTGTTCGTACTTCGGAGAGCTGTCGACGTCACCAGCGGCATTGTAGATAGGCTAGATAGGATCTGCCATTTGTAGTCTGGGCGCAGAGCGCCAGGTAGGATGTCGACATTTGGTTCTTTGTTGATGATGATGAGACTATTCCAACATTGTCACTTGTGAACTTTTGCTGTGCTCTGGTTTGGTGAGACTCGTGTTGCAATTCTGCTTTTGGTTCAAGGTCACGACTATCTGGTTTCATGTGTATGATGCTGCTTGGTTTCTGGATTTCGCTATCGCTCATTTTCCTTGCACTTGCCAGCACTTCGTTTTTTTTTTTTTTTCCTTCCTAAACGCCTTGGAATTTTATTATAATCGGGGCCGGTGCCCAAGGCTGTACATCACAAAGGAACAAGGGGTGTAACAGCCTCGGCCCTCAACCATCACGCCAAGCCCATCCCCTTATTTAAAAAAAAAAAAAAAAAAAAAAAAA